TTTCCCCTTGATCCCCCAATTTCCCCTTCATCTGTTCGGAACATGTCTTTTCTACATTGGGAGAAAGGCTAAACTACAGTTTCCGTACTTGGTCCAGAATTGGACGATTTATATGTCATTCGAAAGAGCTCGTCGAGCTGAGTCGAACGACACCAAAATTAACAATAACAAAATATTATAAAAATACTGCTCTATCCAAACTTTAAGTTCACTATTAACACTTGAAAAATAATTCCTACTATGGTAGCTTTCTTATAAACATTGAAAATATATTTCCGGAAAATTATAATTTTGACTTATTATTTAATTTCCGGAAAGATTTAATTTTATTTTATTAGCTAATTTAGTTAAAATTTAATTCTGGTTCCGTAGAGGTTTTACCATTTGAACAAACATTTGAAATGTCAATACTAAAATATCCAAAACACAATTTTGTATCAGAATTCTGCTGTGTGTTTCCATTTCTTTTGGTGTTTTAAAAATAATTAAAATAATCAGAATAATGTTTAGAGGATAACCAAGTAATAAACATGTCCAATAATCCCACGCAAGGAAAATATCGGTTAAATTGGGCATTTTTTATTTATTAATTTTTAAACGAATTATGTTAAAATAAAGTAAAATTAATTATAAAAAATATTTAAAAAATATTTTTCTAACAAAATTTTTAAAAATATTTACTTTAATAATATTTATTTTAAAAATACAAAAAACATTTTTAAGAAATTTCTTTATTTTAATTAAATTCGTGAGATATTATTCCATTGACGACGATCTTGGTGTACTTGAAAAATACTTTTCAATAATAAACATAAATATAAAGGGTTAAATACATTATAGGGTAGCAACCCGGCCCCGAAAATTTAAATAAAATATCAAGAAAATTGGACATTTATTTTAATTTATTAATTTTTAAAGTGTTATAGTTAAACTAAGTAAAATTAATGTATTAAAAATGTTTCACACAAATAGTTTTTAAAATACAAATTTTTCGAGAAAAAAATTTTTTTCGTGAGATATCTTGACATGAAATAATTTTGTTTACTTAAAAAGTACTTTAGAAAGCCCAAGATACAATATAAAACAGAAAAACCTCGCGCGAAAGAAAATAAAGGAGTATTCAATTATAGGTGATACTATATAATACAGGGCTACGATCGACATAATTCCAATCTAAAGTACAGAAATCTCGATTTCAAAGTAGATAGGGACTAAATTTCCAAATTTAAAGGACACTCCAAATTAAATTAGAAAATATTTATTCGTGCTCTAATCTTTTATATTTCTCTCCTAAATGAATCTTTTTTAATAATTTCTTGTTTCCACGTAGCATTTTGTGCCAAAAAAAAGTTTTCAAATACAAAATTGCGCTGCAGGCGAAAATTTTGAATATTTTGTAGGTTCTTAAGCCAGATTTCTTCCATTTTTCCAAAATGTTGATTTAAAAGTATATACTTTCAAAAAAGTACAAATAAAATTTCGTAAGTATAGAGGTCGATTTAAAAGTAGGATACTTTTAAAGAAGTATGAATCGTAACCCTGATATAATAGAGTTATTAAATCAATCAAAAAATATAAAATACAAAAATTATTGTGGATGTATTCTTAAACGATTAAAAACAGCTTCTTTGTACGGCTTATTAGTTAATATACAAACAATTGGGTTAAAAACGGGTGTAAAATGATTGAAACTTGAAAAAGATATATAAAGAATATTTTTGATATTCTCATTATTAGAACCATTCGAACTATTCGAATCATTGTTGAATTTAAAAAATATAACTAATAAAGCCAAAAATTGATTAATAAATGGAATAATTGCCTGAAATTTAAATTTAAATTAATATTCAAAATTAAATAATTCACCAAAATTATCAAAGTTTTTGTCAATTGTTTAAGCAATCTCTTCATATTTTGATCAAATCCAGTATGTAAATTAACATAATAAACCATTTTGAATCCACAAATAAAAATTATAATAAATGGAAATATTATAAGAAGAGTTATGATTAATGCTGGCAAATCTCTCTTAAAAAAATAAAATTGGAAGCTCTCTATAAGTTCATTCCCTGTTAAATCACCCCCTATTCATTGGGAAAATTTTTAATAGAAAAATTCCATTGAATTTTTGTGTATTGACTAGAGATCGGAATTTTGTTCCGTACCGTATTCCGTACCGTAATACCGAAAAATACCGAAACCGAAAAATACCGATGAAATTCAAAATGTTGCCGTACCGTATTCCGTACCGTATTACCGACTGTAATACCGATAAATACCGAGAAATACCGATATTTCTCATCGGTACCGTATTCCGTACCGTATTTTTTAAAAAAATTTTACCGTTCCGTATTCCGTACCGTACTACCGCTACGGAATACCGATAAATACCGAAAAATACGGCCGTAGTACGGTACGGTCCGATCTCTAGTATTGACTTGTGTCCGAATAATACACATGCACAATATTCCAGCACTTTTGATTAACAAACACTGCTGGTAATGTGCATTTTGTGGTTATTTCAGACATATATATTACTCAACCAAAATCCAATTTCATAGTTGGATTTGGATGGAAATGGCTCCTGAGCCATTTCAGGAGCCATTCATTTAGTGATTAATAGGGCTGTCCAAAATATGCAAGGAAAATCGCCAAATATGCGCATATATATGCAGCGAAAAAGCCCCAAATATGCACTGAAATATGCAAAATTTTGCCAAAATATGCACTAAATATGCAGCAAAAAATAGTGAAAATGTGCTTTGAAAATGAACATTTTAAGTAAAAAACATTAATTTAGCTTTTAATTTACATTTTAAAGCACTTCTAAAAGATTTTATGGACTTAGAATTTATACAAAAAAATTTTTGAAAAAAATTCTTCCCAAAAAATTTATCGAAAAATTATTTTGAAAAATTTTTATAAAAAAATTTTTGACCCAAAAAATTCCAAAATTTTGGTAATTTTTGACAAAATTTTACAAAAAAAGTCAAAATATGACCAAAATATGCAAAATTTGCCAAGATATGCACAAATATGCAAATATGCACGAGAGGGCTCAAATATGCAAAAATATGCATTAAGAACCGGGTCCTAAAGTGCTCGGACCGATGTAAAAACACCTTTTTTGGGCTTCCCACATCAAGGCATATCCGCATCAGGGTTGCCGCGGGTACAAAAAATCTTCGGGTACGGGTTTCGGGTTGGAGCGTTTTCATTTCGGGTCACGGGTTTCGGGTTGGCAAAAATATCGGGTACGGGTTTCGGGTTGGAGCGTTTTCATTTCGGGTCACGGGTTTCGGGTTGGCAAAAATATCGGGTACGGGTTTCGGGTTTGGCGAAAAATTAGGGTTATTTTCGGGTGCTCGGGTATTGGTGAACTAAATTGTAAGGAGACAAGCTATATTCAATAAAAGGATTCTGGGTGATATAGAGAGAGAATATTTGAAGAGATTAAAGAGACATTGTGGGATTTGGGGATTAAGAGGGATATCTCTTTCTCCATTAAAGCCTCCAATTTTCTCCCGAGCGCCGCAGGCGAAGATTTTGAGAATTTTGAAGAACAAGAAGCTAAATTTCTTCAATTTTTTGCGCCGCAGGCGAAAATTTTGAGAATTTTGTAAGACCTTAGGAGAAAAAATTCAATTGTCAGAACCGCAGGCAAAAAAATTTATTGTAGTTTAGTTGGTCATGAAGCCAGAACTCTTAATTTTATGCGCCGCAGGCGAAAATTTTGCAAAATTCATGACTAAATTAAAACTTTTATGCTTTTTCAAGCCTAAAATGTTAAAAAAAAATAAATTTAAAAATATAAAATTAAAATCAAAGTTTAAAAAACTTATTTTTAAAAAGAAAAATTTTTTAGCATCATTTCCAGCCCTGGAGTCGAACCCACCCCTATGAAAATATCGAGCCAGTCGCCTTACCCATTCAACCACCGCACAACATATGAATAAATGAAAGAAATTATAAATATTTCTTTTTCTTTTCCTTCTTTCTCATTTTTAAAAAATCGGGTAAGGCTAAGTTTTCGGGTAGAAATTTCGGGTTTCAACCAATTTCGGGTCACGGGTTTCGGGTTGGAAAAAATATCGGGTACGGGTTTCGGGTTGGAAAATTTTCAATTCGGGTATCGGGTTTCGGGTACAAAAAAAGACCGGGTTTCGGGTATCGGGTTTCGGGCGGCAACCCTGATCCGCATACAAAACATGCATTTGCATGTTTTGGACAGCCCTAGTGATTAAGAATAAAAAAGGCTGCTGTTTATTATCTCAAGCAAACCTTACAGTAATATATGTTTTAAAATAATTCTGATACCGTTGATTTCGTGATAATAAATGGCAATGTTCTGTTAACTTCATCAAACATTTTAATACCTCCATCGAATGTGGCAAAGAAAATAAAAATCAGATTATAAAACACACCAACAAGTAACACACTCAAAAACATATACAAATAACGTCGAAATTTTGGTTTCATGTTTCTATAAATTATTATTATTAGGGTTGGGGATCTCGACATAAAATCGTGATAGGGATTTTAGAATAACGATCCAGTCACGACTGTGGGATCCCTATCCCGCCCAACTCTAATTTTTATATAAATGATTGAATAAATATGTATTCAGAGCAACTCGCAATCCGCAATTGCGTGCAACCCTGATTCAGAGTAAACTTTGTTTCATTTACCTGTTCAAAATTAAATATCTATAAACAAATTGGGCACACAATCCATACAAATTTATAATGAAAAAAGACTGTGCGATAAATAGATAACTAAGGTAAATAATTTTGTTGAAATTATTTTTGATAAATTCGATGAGAATGCCGTCAATAAAAATAAGGATCGTATCTCCATTACTGTTAGTTATACAGATCTTAAATTTTAGGTTTAATTCTGAATTTATTATTAAGTTTTGATTTATTCCGAATATTATTTTAAATCTATTTTTCTGTGATTTCTGACAAGTTTCTATTTTACTTTAAGTATAAAATTTTATTCTAATTTAATTCTGGATTTTTAAAAAATTTTACGATTTGTATTAACATCTGAATTGTTAATGCTAAAATATCCAAAACACAATTTTGTATCAGAATTCTGCTGTGTGTTTCCATTTCTTTTGGTGTTTTAAAAATAATTAAAATAATCAGAATAATGTTTAGAGGATAACCAAGTAATAAACTTCCCCAATAATCCCAAGCAAGGAAAATATCAAGAAAATTGGACATTATTTTATTTATTAATTTTAAAAGTTTTATAGTTAAAGTAAAATTAATGTAAAATTTTTTAATTAAAAATGTTTCACACAAATAACTTTTAAAAATACAATTTTTCGAATGAAATTTTTTAATAAAAATCGTGAGATATCTCTACATGAAATAGCTTTGTTTACTTAAAAAGTACTTTTAAGAGCCGAGATACACTAGATACAATATAAACAAGAAAAGGGGATTTTAAATAATTCTGATTACCTTATTTTTTGAAATAGTACTCCCTCCTGAAATACATACACCCTTCCTCCCTCCCTAAAATTAGTAATTATTGCCAAACATATGAAAAATTATAGAAAAGGATGAAATTTACTCATTGGACTATTTTATTTTAAAGTAGGGTATGTTGGATCTAATCAAAATCATCAGATATCCAATTCACTGATACCCAACATACTCTTTTGATCCCTTGATATTACGTCCAAATGTAAAGCTCATAGCAATTTAATTCCTAAGGCTGGGCAGTATGCGGCGTGGTGTAATGGCTAACACATCAGTCCGGTCTACTGAAGATGCTGGTTCGCTCCCAGCCGTCGAATAACCTTTTGCACTAGCTAAGTGAGAGAAATAGCTATAGCCCAGCTGCTCAAATATGGATATAGTATGAAGATTCGAGGGTATACTGTAGGGAAAAGAGGGATGTAGAGGATATCAGTGATTAATGCTAATAAATCCTTTATAGACAGAAGGAGCTCCTATATTTTACTCATTATGAACCTTCTCTTGTACCTTTACTTATCTCTCACTTTCGTATAACATATTTTTACTAGTTGGCTTTTAAAATATAAATATTGTTTCTTTTATTTTGTTTATTTGGAATTTGTATTAACAACCGAAAGAATGCCTCTAACATTGACCGATAACTTAAGAGATGTGATTTGTTTTGATAGAATCACTGTCCCTCCTTATCTGAGTCAACGAGGTATTGTGCCGTGCCCTTTTATGCAACCCTGTTTCTATGTTAACCAACTCAGCCGTTGAATATCTCACGATTTTAATTAAAATAAAAAAAGTTTTCTCAGAAATTTATTTAAATATTAAAGTAAATATTTACAAATATCGGTGGTTTTTTTGTCTCAAGTATACCAAGTCAGTCGTCTATGTAATAATATCTCACGAATTTAATTAAAACAAAGAAATTTCTTAAAATTTTTTTTTGTATTTTTAAAATAAATATTTTTAATGTAAATATTTTTAAAATTAATTTTACTTATATTTTACTATACTAATTTTAAAAATTAAAAAATAAAAAAATGTCAGTTTTAATTGATATCCTTCTTGAATTTGATTACTGGGGATGTTTATTACTTGGTTATCCTCTAAACATTATTCTGATTATTTTAATTATTTTTAAAACACCAAAAGAAATGGAGACACACAGCAGAATTTTGATACAAAATTGTGTTTTGGATATTTTAGCATTAACAATTCAAATGTTTGCACAAATGGTAAAATTTTTAGAAGACCAAAATTAAATTTGAATAAAATTATATACTTAAAGTAAAATAAAAGAATTGTCGGATATCACAGGAAAATAGACTAAAATAATAATAAAAAATTCAGAATTAAATCTAAAATTTAAGATCTGTATAACTAACAGTAATGGAGATTCAATCCTTATCTTTATTGACGGCATTCTAATTGAATTTATCAAAAATAATTTCAACAAAATTATTTACCTTAGTTATCTATTTATCGCGCAGTCTTTTTTCATTATAAATTTGTATGGATTGTGTGCTCAATTTGTTTTTAGATATTTAATTTTGAACAGGTAAATGAAACAAAATCTAGTCTGAATCATAGCTGCCGTCTTTTTGGGCCAAAATTCAATGCCCGGCTTGATCTTTCGGACCGGTTCGGGCGTGCAGCCCTGCTCTGAATACATATGTATTCCAATCATTTATATAAAATTAGGGTTAGCTGGGATCGGGATCCCGCAGTCGGGACATGGATCAAGATAATTATACCAAAATCCCGATTCCGATTTTATGTCGGGATCCCCCAACCCTAATAAAAATAATTTATAGAAACATGAAACCAAAATTTCGATGTTATTTGTATATGTTTTTGGGTGTGTTACTTGTTGGTGTGTTTTATAATCAGATTTTTATTGTTTTTGCCGAAATCGATGGAGGTATTAAAATGTTTGATGAAGTTAACAGAACATTGCCGTTCATTATCATGAAGTCAATGGTATCAGAATTATTTTAAAACATTAAGCTGGCGTGAGATATAAAAACCATAGCCTTTTTATATTTAATCCCTGGATGTTAGTAGTGCGAGGTATGGACACTGGAGCGGCTAAGGAGCCCTTTCCTTCCAAATCCAACTATGGAATTGGATTTGGGTTGAGTAATATAGATGAGGAATAAAGAGCGGTCTGAAATAACAGGCTTACGAGTCACAAAATGCACATTACCAGCAGTGTTTGTTAATCAAAAGTGCTGGGATATTGTGCATGTGTATTATTCGGACACAGAGTTCGGTCGGAAATGACGAAAGTGCCAGAAAACGGAATCGTCGGAAATTGGAATTCCGACCGACCTCTGATTTGGGCACAAGTAAATACGTAAAAATCAAATTTCCCGACGTAAGAGTGAAAGTTGATCAAAGGATAGAACAAATAAAGAGCTTCCAATTTAATTTTTTTTGAAGAGAGATTTGCCAGCATTAATCATAACTCTTATTATCATGCTTCCATTCATTATAATTTTTGTTTGTGGCTTTAAAATGGTTTACTATGTTAAGTCACATACTGGATTTGATCAAAATATGAAAAGATTGCTTAAACAATTGACAAAAACTTTGATAATATTGGTGAATTATTTCATTATTTGTATAATTTATTTAAATTTAAGGCAATTATTCCATTTATTAATCAAATTTTGACCTTATTAACTATATTCTTTACATTCAACAATGAAACAAATGGCTCGAATAATGAGAATATCAAAAATATTCTTTATATATTTCTTGTAATTTTCAATCATTTTATGCCTGTTTTTAACCCAATAGTTTGTATAATAACTAATAAGCCGTACAAAGAAGCTGTTTTTAATCGTTTAAGAATACATCCACAATAAATATTTTATTTTATGTTAAAAGGACTGTTAATGTCTAATATAATCAGAATTATTTAAAAGAAGCTAGATGAAAATTTTAATAAAAAATTGTATCAATATTTTCCGTACTTTTTTGTAATTATTCCCCTTTTTCTGTCTTATATTATATCTTGTCTCTAAAGTAATTTTAAAGTAAACAAAGCTTTTTCATGTAAAGATAACTCACGATTCTTATTAAAATACTTCGCTCGAAAAATTGTATTTTTAAATATGTAAAAGTTATTAGCGTGAAACTTTTTAATTAAAAAATTTCTGTATATTAAGTTTACTTTGTTTAACTATAATACTTTAAAAATAAAAATAAAAGAATGTCCAATTTGCTTGATATTTTATTTAAATTTGATTATTGGGCAAGTTTATTACTTGGTTATCCTCTAAACATAATTCTGATTATTTTAATTATATTTAAAACACCAAAAGAAATGGAAACACACAGCAGAATTCTGATACAAAATTGTGTTTTGGATATTTTATACTTAACATTTCAAATGTTTGCACAAATGGTAAAATAAATCCAGAATTAATAAATTTGACAAGATTATATATAGAAAGAATTAAATTCCGGAAGTAAATTTAAACCCTCCCGGAGCGCGGGATGTTTGCACTGCGCCTTGCCGACGCTTATAGGTTCACTTTGTTTGTCTTTCTATCATTTTGTCCAAACTTGTTCAACCGAGCTGATTTTGGTGTCATTCTACTCAGCTTGTCGAGTCCCTTCGAATGACATATAATTTGTCGATTTTAGAATATGTGGGCGCAAAGCAAAATTTTCCGAAAATTACATACTGCATAAAAGATTTGATTTTAAGGACGGTTTTACATTGATTTTCGGATTTTTAAATTCTTTAAATTTAAAAATTATTAAGTTTGTTATAATTGACAACAATGGAAATTCAGTCTATATTTTTACTAACGGCATTTTTATTGAATTTATGGAAAATATTTTGAACAAAATTATTTACATAAGCTCTGTAATCTTCGTTCAGTCTTTTTTCATTATAAATTTATGTGGATTATGTGTCCAATTTGTTTATAGGTATTTAATTCTGAACAGGTAAAACACAAAACAAAATCAGAATTAATTTAAAACATACCAGAATTAATTTAAAACATACCAGAATTAATTTAAAACAAAATCAGAATTAATTTAAAACATACCAGAATTAATTTAAAACAAAATCAGAATTAATTTAAAACATACCAGAATTAATTTAAAACAAAATCAGAATTAATTTAAAACATACCAGAATTAATTTAAAACAAAATCAGAATTAATTTAAAACATACCAGAATTAATTTAAAACAAAATCAGAATTAATTTAAAACATACCAGAATTAATTTAAAACATACCAGAATTAATTTAAAACATACCAGAATTAATTTAAAACATACCAGAATTAATTTAAAACATACCAGAATTAATTTAAAACAAAATCAGAATTAATTTAAAACATACCAGAATTAATTTAAAACATACCAGAATTAATTTAAAACATACCAGAATTAATTTAAAACAAAATCAGAATTAATTTAAAACATACCAGAATTAATTTAAAACAAAATCAGAATTAATTTAAAACAAAATCAGAATTAATTTAAAACATACCAGTATTAATTTAAAACATACCAGAATTAATTTAAAACATACCAGAATTTATCAGAAACAAAACTTAAATTTATAGAAACATGAAACTAAAGTTTCGACATTATCTGTACATGTTTTCAATTGTTTTATTTATTGGTTTATTCCATACTCTAATTTATATTTCCTCCTACATATTTGATGGAGGGATTAAATACTTTTATGAATTCAACGAAACATTGCACTTTGTTTC